TCCCTACAATATAAGGTAATTTTTTGTTAGTTTTTATTATTCAAAGTTATTAAAAGATATGTCACATCCACCTTGCTAAGAACACTCTGAAAACACTCATGATGGCGGAAGCATAAAAAATAGTGTATAGTATCTCTGTAATGTGTACAAATCCAAAAAGAAAGAACTGAGAAAGTACTTATGTTTTAAATAATTTCCTACATACCCCCAAATTATTTATCTTTTCTTATTCTTAAGCTATAAATTGATCAGTACCCCGCTAGCTCCACATGAAAAATTAGTCAGCTGTTGCCAGCACCACACTGTTGCTTTGGGATATAACCTTGGGCTTAACTTGCCTACTGTAAAATATGCTGTCACCTGTCATACCTGCAGGGTCCAAATCAGGTCATAGTTTTAAAAATGCCTGAATGACTAAGCAAGAGAATGACAGCAAAGAAGTCACAATGCTGAAACGCAATAGCTTCCTCACTTAAGCAATTTTCTGTACCCAAGATACAGAAAAATCTAGATTCAGTTCCTTCATCTGCTTCAAAAAAGATTCAAACTTGCATCTCACATCTTCCAAGAGAATGACTAACTCTCTGAACTGCATCTCAGTCTGGGATGGGGCTCTCCACTTCTATTTAAGAGGCTCCATTTGCATGAAATGATTAGAGACTCAATGAGTCAGAAGGAAAGATCAAGCCTCCCCCACCAACCATTTAAAGCGCTGACTCAGGCTATGCTTGTAGGAAGCAATCCACAAAACAACACACGTGCTCTGCACAGCCAGTGTGCGTGCCTCCGCGGTTACCACCAGATAGTCCCAATTCCCAAATGCTGCTTCTGCCTCATTACCGTACGTGCAGTTTTCACTATATTTAAATTATGATTTTGCAAACTAATACTTGTGTTTACCTAAATGCTAAGTACTTTCACTACGCACCCCACCCCAACTGCCGAGCAACCATGGAGTTCAAAACAACAAATGCATTCACTCTTGAACAGGACAAGAAACTCTTCTCTAGGAGAGTGGTATGCCCAGGTAAGATCCAGACTTCAGTCAATAAACAGCTACTGCTAACACCACCTCTTTGTGCTCATGCTTGAAGGAGAAAGATTGTCACCTTCGTAATTTTTTTTAAAAAAAACAAGGTTGAGACGAGTGAAGGGAGAGAACCGTTTCCCCATGGCTCAGGGCAAGGCAGACCATTTGAAAAAGGATGCAGAGTTCAGAGAGATTTATCTTTCTTTTCCTACAAGCTTGCTTAGATGGAATCCCCACCTCACGTGCTAGTCTTTGTAGATCCCATTCTACAACACAGGGTCCACATGTCCCAGTTCTCCATATAGAGCAAGATATGCCCCTATAATCGGTCGTAACATGGAGCCATGACCTGCCATTTTTCAGGACAGTGTGCCAAACGCACTGTGGCCTAGCATTTGCTAACACAACTACCATTTTAGACAACAATCACAGCAAGTATCCATCTTACTATAATGAAACTTTCTGAGCTTGTGGTAAACGGTCAACTTGAGGTACACTGAGCTGCCCTAACTTCTGGTTGACCTGCTGACCAAGCTTTACACAACTGAGTGGGGCCTGGGAGGAAGGGGGAGAACCTGTCCTGACTGAAAGCATTCTTACAAGCAGCGTTACAGGCACTGTACATCCAACACTGTGATGATATCGAGGGTTTTTTCTTGTTCATGGCTGCTGAGTACAATTTCTGGCTTTAGATTTAACACATATACAGGAGATGATTGACTGCTCTTCCTCTTGAAGGATTACATCTAGTGGATACTCACCTCTACAAACAATTTTTATTTAGTTAGCCAAAACCTACATTCTTCCTTCTTGCATAGGAGTTCACACTCTATCGGACTATAAAAATGTTACATATCTCAGTTTACTCTAGAAAGAACAGGTTTTGACTAATAAAGTCAGTGGGACCCTTGATTGAACAAATTATTAAACCAAGGAAGTTTCAAATTTTTAGAGCAGGCATAAGATTACACATTGCTCTGGTGATAAAAGGGTCTAGAAAACAGACAATTTTAAGAAGTTCTGAAAAAAGATTAGAAACTAGCTAATATACAAATCACACTGACACATTTCCCTTTAAAATGTTATGTAGGTGCTTGTAATTTACTTAATAATCTTTTTGAATCTGTAAAAATGTAATATTGTGAGGATTAATGGAAGCAATTTTAACAATGAGAGGCTAATTGAAAGTGAGGGGAATGGTGCGGGGGGTGGGACAGATACTTACAGCAGCCACAGGGATGAGAATTTCCACAAACAAACCAGCAAGTGCATGTTTTATATCTTTATCTTTTACTTCCAGGAAGTATTGAGCACATTCCTTAGTAAGGAAGCATTAGAAAAACATTTAGAAAAAAGAAGACAGATGTCACTATGCCATAAAAACCACCGGCAGTATCACATTAATTGCCAGTTTGAATTTAAAACACGAAATGTGTTTAAGTTAGTCTTATATTCCTTGACAATATCAACTTTACAAAACATTAGAAACTTTAAAACCTGTTTCCCCAGCAATTAAAAAGAAATTGAAAGGACATTTGTAATACCAGATAGCTATTTACTTTCTACTCAGAATATAAAGAGTACTCAGAATATATAAGAATATAAATACGCACAGTTTTCCTCAGATTATTCTAAAGTTTAAAAAAAACCCGTCTTATCTCTATTGAAATGATTAGAAAATAATATTTTATTTTTTATATACTCATTTTCATTTTCAAGATGATTTTGATGGAAAGAAAATTTTACAGAGAAATAAATAATCCATACACATGTATGCTTACTCCACTATACCAAACTGACCACTCTGGACACAATCTAAAGCACCTATGTGTATGTTAGTTTTTTCAGGATTGAGATCAATGTCAACAGCTGTTAAATAGCTCTAATAAAACTTATGACCCAGTTACAATAACTTCAGTTACTGTGGAATGGGCGAGTTATTCATTAAGGCAATTTTTAATCCACAATCAAGAGAAGCAAAGAAAAGAGATTTTCAGTCTCTGAAAATTAACTGAAATGTTTAAACAAAAGTGTTTCTTGGCATCTCAGCTGTTAAAAAAAGTAACTTTTTTTCTTTAACCCACTGCTTTCATAAAGAAAGAAAATTATTTGATTGTTACCCATTTTCATTTCGTCTTGAATAAATTAATATATTAAAGGTTTGCCACATTACAGAGACAATTGAGAGCGGGTTCTCATTATGCCAGGTACTCATGAACCGCAGAGAAACAAATGATTCATGCCTCTGAGAACTTATGAACTAAACAGAAAAGGATGAAGGACGACACAAGTAGAGTGAGCGACTGATCGCAGCACGCATCGTTGTAGCTTCATGACTTAAACAATCAAAATTATGCTCATTTCAGTTTTCTTTAATATTCATTTACCTGCATGAACTGAAATGATGCTTCAAAATCCTCCACGGGATACATCTTTACTCGAAAAAACTTCATTCCCATAATCAAACTGATGATACTTTGTACTATATGAGGACTCTGTTCTTTTTGCCGCAGTTCCTTTAATTCAGTGACAAACTTCTTCCTAACAGCTTGAAACCTGAATAAGGGATACAGAGGACAATTATTTACATTCTTAGTTACTTGTATATCATGTCTATAATTTTGAACCAATTTCTTTAGTCCATTAATGATAACAGCACCTACAGTAAAAGAAACACAAGCAAGATGAACCCTGACACTTAAAATCTAGGCACTTAAGAGTGCCTATGATTCAGCACATTAGAATATACTCATTAACTGAACAACAACTATTGACTGATACCAGGCCTCCTTTCCCTGCACCTACAAGTTGACAGCAAAGCAATTCAGTATGGTACTAAAGATTATTTCTTGATTTGTTCAAATTTATTGTGCTGGAACATGAGATGGACATGCCAGACTACGCCTGACTACACTTGACACTTAAGGGATTAGTTACTGGAGTCATTAATAAACGCTGCTAGATTAAATCGTCTTTAAGTCTAGAGTCATTTCTCCCCAAATGCAAGAAGAGTCAGAGACTGAACTTACTTTGATTGAGCGAGAACCCCTGTCACTTCTGCATATAAGTCTGCAATAATATGCACATTCCCAGTGTTGGTTCCTGAATACCTAAAGAGAAAAGAAAAGGAAAAAAAAAAAAAAAAAAGGGAAAAAACCCATCAAAACAGGTGTTAGATACAACTCTGTTCTTTTAAACCCCAAGCATGTTCTCAATTACAAACAAAAAGTTTGCTCCATAGCAAGGCGGATTATTACCATAAAACCAATGAAAGTCAAGCATAAAATGCACGGGTGACTTCTAAAGCAATGTAGTTTAATTGAGTGAACATAAGAGACATATTCTGCATAGGAAGTTTACTGTAGTTATCCAAACTCAGACTTTTCTTACTCTGGCTGGCTATGCAAATCATTCTGTGTATTCTAAGCAAAATAAACTCAGCATTATATTGAACACAGCTGTGTTCTTTCAAGATATATTTTCGGTTTAAAGATAGCAATCAGTATTCATTTACAATGTTATCACCAACATGTTACACGTGAGGCAAAGGAGCTCAATCGCAACAATCAAGCACAGGCTGGTAATACACACAAAGTATTTTGAAGTACACAAGTGAAACTTACCCTTCCTTATGTTTAAAGTGCTTAAAAGCCAAGTTTAGAACTTCATGTACTAAAGGATCTGGCACTGGATGAACAGGGATCTGAAATGCAGATATCATTTATATGTATGTAACTATGCATGTATATATACAAATATGTATGTATGAAGTAACTAAACAGTACTGTGAGGTGCCCTGTAGAAAGCTCTCCCATTACTGTCAAAGGACACATCCTTCGTTGGCATACTATATCAACTTAATTCTGCAATACATGAACATTTACACAACCTGTATTGACATTCTTTTAAATTATTTGGCATACTGGATTTTAGGGATTAAATTAATAACAACATAAATGTAAACACTATGAATTTGTCATCAGAATTTATCAGACTGCGTTAATTATGCATCTTTTCACACTTTCTACCTTGTGTGGTGTTACTATCACAGATTTAACCTCAAAATGCAATTAATCTCAATATAAAGGAAGAAAAATGAAAAAATTAATGCAGAAAAGATGACAGTCTCCATTTTAGACTTTCTGCAGGTGAAAGCAGCCAAAATATATAAAAGTATTCCTAGCAGTAAGTAACAGTTTGGTGAGAAATCAAAACCAGCATTCATTAGGACTTTTTTTACTGAGGTTCTCTTTGACATCACCACTTTTCTCAGGTTTAAAAGAAAACACTTGCTTAAAAATCAAATATATTGTTTAAAAAAAGCACTATATATAATTATGAAGTCATAATATCTTTAAAATTTCAAAGCAATTTAGGTAGGGACTACAATAACCCTGCTAAACATTACTGCTTAAGAGTGATTAAGATTTTCACTAAAATACATTAGAAGAAAAGATTATTAAGCAAAATATTTTTGTTCCTACATAGGTCATGTCTGTCACCCTCTCTCTGGTTGCATATTACAGAAAGGGTTGGATAATTTGCACCCTCTAAAACCAGTTTCTAAGAATGAAGCAATGCTAGGGCTCCCAGGAAGATGGATGTAATGTGAATGTAAATACGTTTATTGATGAAAAGCCATCCTTTCTGTGCTCTGACTGACTAATTGCAGATTCACATTACAGGCAGAACATACAAACCCTCCTTTAGATAATTTTTAATACTAAACTGGCTGAAGGATTCTCTTAAGTGGTATATCCATGTTTGGTTGCCCATTGCACGTCTTTAGCAGAAGAAAATATCCTTATCAGGAAAATACGTATTTTGGCTGGAGGACAAGCATGAGAGGCTCACCAAGCATTACAGGAGTCACCACAGACTCTCTTCAAAACCAAAACTGTCATCTGAATCACTGGCCACATGTACTCTACTCAACAGAAAAACCAGTACCAGTTCAAAATACCCACACAGACCTGCAATCCTAACCAACCAATTCATTTCTCTTCTTCTTTAGCACTGACAGTAAATTTAGACAGGGAGAGAGCATGAACTAAAGATTTTCTGTAAAACACACATAAGAGTTTGATGGTTTTAATACTGTTCTCTGCACCTCTGTGCATGCAGTATAGAAATATCACTTTGGATGACTGGTCAGAGTCTCAGAAAAGGATAGGCAGCTCTTTGGTTTTACTGTTTTCATTTTTCCCCTATATCACAACCATGCCATACACAACCACATAAACATAAATCTCTTACACATTATTTGCAAACTAAACCATAGTCCTTGCTTTACTTAGTACAGAAAGCCATTTAATTTTCATCTATCTATACATAAAAGACATAAACTACTGAAGTATTTGAAAAAAATGAAAATTGCTCAGGTCTCATTCATTGTTCAAACCCTTTCTTACAGTAATCTTTTTCTCCTCTCGAAAATCCAAGAAAAAAATGCTGCTACTCGACACCAAACGCTATCCTCTTGTCCATATGTCCTGGTTTTGGCTGGGATAGACTTAATTTTCTTCCTAGTAGCTGTGCTGGTCTAGTGCTGTGTTCTGGATTTAGTATGAGAAGAATGCTGATAACACGCTGATGTT